TATATATATATATATATATATATATATATATAGTTGATGCAAAATATCATAAAAACAACGCCATTTGGTGCAAAATATCGTAAAACAATTATATTTGATACAAAATATCACTAAAACAATGACACTTGTTATATTTGATGCAAAATGTCACTAAAACAATGACATTTGAAACAAATGTAAAATATACTAGTTATGTCATTTATTTCAAATGCCATATTGTTAATCACTAAATTACCAATTTTACGATTTACACTTAAGAATGAAATTTAAATCTTTCTAATTATTTCATCACTCTTTATAATTAAATCTAGAAAATAAATTATTTAATACATAAATATTACTCCCTCCGTTCCATCTTTTAAAAGTTGAATGATCATATAGCTCTTCATCACTAAAAACTTTAGTAACCGCTATTAAGTGTTGATTTGGAACTAAATAAGTATGATAAATTAAATCCTATTGGATGATAAATTATTACAATTAATAAATGTATACACCTTTCCCTTCCCATTTACAACTAAATAATAAATTAATAAATGTTCACGGTGAACCGTGTCGATAACGTTATAGAGCTAAGAACTTAATAAAAATTTGTCCACACATGATGTATACATCAGATTTATACAATTTTTATGGTTGGGTGATTTAATGAAGTAAAACACACATTAATTAATTAAGGTGAAATAAAATGAACTATAAATTCAAACACATGACATGCATGTATTGGATTGGTGTATACACCACGAATAAGTTTTACCAAAAAAAAACCTAATTAAGTGTTTTTTTTTAGATTAATAAATGTTGAATAGCAATGGCCATTACCTTTGGATTATGCAAATTGAAAAAAATTACTAGGCTAATGAAAAACTTGAATGACCTTATTGTCCGTAAAAAGTTAAATGACCTTTTTACCCTTTAACTTGAATGACCTTATGAAACTATACATTCTTAAAAAATCAGCATAATAAAGTAGGCACATTAAAGCAGCTCTATCTCTCCACTACTTCTATAATAAATTGAGTCATTAATTTCTTATTGCTCTTTATATGAAACAAAATATAATGTAAAGATATTTTATCAAGTTGGCAAACTCGATAGATTGTATATAAACCCAATGTACTACACTCTTTCATCACAATTTTTTTTTAATATAATGAAACTTTTTTCGATCATATTATTCACTATAGTAAGCGTAACTATATTTCATTTTGTTTGGTTTTGGTTAGTATTTGGAAAATTAAAAGGTCCAAAGACATGGCCATTAGTAGGTTGTATTCCACAAATGCTATTTAACAAAGAAAGAATCCATGAATGGACCATAGATCAACTCTTTGCAAGTGCAACATTAGGCACGTATCAGACTTATGGTATTTGTATCCCTTTTTTTCATAATTGGAGACAAACTTTTACTACTGTTACATGTCATCCAAAAACTTTCGAACATATTCTTCGAACTAGCTTTAATAATTATCCTAAAGGTCCAACTTGGAAACACACATTTCGCGACCACGTTAGAGGGAGTCAAGGTACGTAATTAACTTCTTGATACTCGATAAATATTCATCATCATTGAATTGAGTTTTGTTTCTTAGATGGTAACTCAACTAATTAATTATTATGATAACAAAATTATTTTCTTATAATGTGAGCGTGTAACCATATTATTGTTCCTCCAACAAGTATATCTCATGTTGAAGGTAAAGAGTGGATTTTGCAAAGGAAAATAATGGTTCCAGAATTATCAAAATTGAAACTTATTCCAGCACTATATAATTGGGTGAACCCTACAATAAAAAATGGTTTATTGCCTATTTTAGACAAGGCTACAAAACAAAACATTTCAGTAGACTTGCAAGACTTAATGATTCGTTTTGGCACTGATAACATTTTTGGACTTGCTCTAGGCAAAAAATTGAAAACTTTAAACACTCAAGTAACACCTGAGGACGAATTAGTTGCACTAGCCATAGATACATAGGGGTGGCAATTGGGGCGGGGCAGGATAGGGCGGGGCAGGTTACACTCTTAATAGGGTAGGGCAGGGAAATATGTTAACGGGGCAGGTTAGGTTAGGGCAGGGCAAAATATTTTTTTTGATAAATCCTAATGGGTTAGGGTAGGGCAGGGTAAGTCCAAATTTAAAAATGGGCCGGATTAAAAAGGAGTGACCCGCTTAAATCTTAATCACCTGCGCCCTACTTCAAAGAATGAAAGTAGCGGCTCTCTTCCTCAAATTTCATCTCTCTCAATTCTCATCTCCATTCTCCATCTGGGCTTCGATTTCGATGCTACAAATCATGATTGAATCGTTGTTTTTTTAAGACTATTCTTTCAGATTTCTTCGTATCTTCAATTGGTGTTATAATTTCATTTTCAGGTACTATTTCTCTCATAGAACTGTGATTTATCAGTTGGATTTGAAGTGCTTTTTCATTTGTTTGAATGTGTATAATTTTCTAGCTGGAATCTATGTTCTTTGTTTGCTACTAGTGCAAAACAACTAATTACATAGACAATACAAATTTCTTTAGAATAGTGATTCTTCTGGTTAGGCATTATTTTGAAAATTATGATTCCATTGTACTGATGAACTCTATATTTTCAAGTTTATCAGTTACACTATTATAGAACTTGATGTATTTGTGAAAAATATATATTGGAAACCTAACCTCTTTTTCCTGTTTTCGTAATAGGCTGTAGGCAATCATGACATCTCAAAATGATGAGAATCTGCCTGCTTCATCTTCTAATGTTATTTCCTTAGAGGCTGATAGTCCGAGGCCTTCACAAATTGATGAAGTTGTTGTACCGGGAAAAAGAAAGAGATATTCTAAAGCATGGAAGCATTTCAAGTTGGTATATGTTGATGGTGTTCCGTATGGTCAGTGTAAGTATTGCAAATCTCAATATAAAAATGCAAAAAATTGTGGGACGACGTCTATGTGGGATCATTTACGTAAGTGTGCTAAAAAGCCAAGAGGTGAGGGTGATATAGAGGGTGATGATGAAGGACACTATTTTGATCAAGATGTTTCACGTAAACAACTTGCACATGCCATTATCTTACACGAGTATCCACTCTCTATAGTTGATCATGTGGGATTTAGGAACTTTGTTGCGAGTCTCCAACCTATGTTTAAAATGGTTTCAAGAAATACGATAAAAAATGACATACTGAAAATTTTTGACAATTTGAAATCAAAAACTGCTAGTTTGTTGGATAAAGTCACGAGTAGAGTTGCAATAACAACCGATATGTGGACTTCAAATAGCAACAAAAAAGGATTCATGGCTATTACTGGACATTTTATTGATGATTCATGGAGTATTCAAAGTCATATTTTTAGGTTTGTTTATGTTCCCGCTCCACATGATAAAGATGCATTATGTAGTGCTTTGGTTAATTGTTTGTTTGATTGGAATCTTGAACGGAGAATATCAACTATCACAGTTGATAATTCTAGTACTAACAATGCAATGATGAGAACCTTATTGGATGAGAAACTTAATAAAAGAGATTTGTTATTGGATGGTCAAATGTTTCATGTGCGTTGTGCCGCACATATCTTAAATCTGATTGTCCAAGAAGGGTTAAAGGTGATAGGAGAAAGTATTGGCAAAATACGTGATAGTGTCTTGTATTGGATTGGATCAGCCGGTAGAATTGAGAGATTTGAAGAAGCTGCACGTCTGCTACGTTGTTCTTGTAAGAAGAATTTGGAGTATGATTGTCCTACCCGTTGGAATTCAACATATCTAATGTTGAGAACAGCCTTAGAATACAAAGAAGTGTTTAAGAAATTGAGTCTAACTGACTCAAACTATAAGTCGTATCCAACGGAAGAGCAATGGAGTCATGCAGAAGATGTTTGTGGGAAGCTCAAACTCTTTTATCATATCACTGAACAATTTTCAGGTACTCAATATCCAACTTCCAGTCAATACTTTACAAAAGTTTGTGAAATTAAGATGGAGTTGGAAGATTGGGCGAAAAGCTTTAATCCTTTGATTAGCTCTATGGCGTTTGCAATGTTATTGAAATTTCAAAAATATTGGGATGATGTGCATGTTATGATGGGTATAGCTGCAATCTTTGATCCAAGATATAAGATGAAGTTGGTAGAGTTCTTTCTTCCACAAATTTATGGTAAAGATGCTTCAACTAAAATTCAAGAAATTCGATCTCATTGTTATGATCTCTTTCATGATTATAATAGTAGACTATCTTCTCCAAGGGGGTCATTTGAAGCATGTAGCTCTAGTGAAGTCGCTAATCTTATTGAAGGTGATCGACTATCGAGCTTTGATAGATTTGTTGCTTCGAGTCGAGCTACTATGGAGAAAAAATCAGAGTTGGATTTATATTTAGAAGAAAGCTTGCTACCCCGGACTCCATCATTTGATAACTTGAGTTGGTGGAAGACAAATGGATTGAAATTTCCTACTTTGCAAAAGATGGCTCGTGATCTCTTAGCCATTCCTGTGTCTACTGTTGCTTCTGAATCAGCATTTAGCACTAGTGGGAGGTTGATTAGTCCGCATCGTAGTAGATTGCATCCTACTACTTTGGAAGCTCTAATGTGTGCTCGCACATGGTTATGGAATGAAATAAATGGTATGCAATTTTTTCATTGTTATCTTATTAGTTATTCAATTCTTATAAGTATTATAATTTTCTTTTTAGGTTTGACTTCAACCATCGATAATGTGTCATGTCCAACGTTGATTGATGAAGAGGAAGAGCCTGAGATCAGTTTCATGCCCAATGTTGATTGATGAAGAGGAAAATGTGGAGTCAAGTTTTGTCGACGAGATGAAGAGGAGAAACTTTATTCCATTTCTATAAGTCACTTTTCAACTACATTAGTTTCTTAGCAAGAATGGCATCTGGTTTCCTGTATATTTTAAGATGTCCACAATCAAACTTTGAAACAATATTTAGTTTGGGTAGTTTGCTGGGAAAGGACCCAAACAGTGTATGAAGGATAAACAATTGAACATATTTGTATAGACTTGAAGTAGCTCCAGTCATACATGTTAATGGAATTGCATATTCTACTTTCCCTGCACAATCCTATTATTATGTACATAAGGGCCATCTGGAAGCTCTTTGACAATAGAATAATAAATAGTGCTCTGGAAGTACTTTTTAGGTGTTGAAAAATGAGTACTCTTCTAGTGAATTTCAAGATGTGTGGCAGTACCTGTATAATGTCCCGATTGTTGTTGTAAATGGGGCAGGGTAGGGCAGGGCTTAACGGGGCGGGGAGGGGCAGGGCAATCTATTTGAAAGATGTTAAATGGGGCAGGGTAGGGCGGGTCAAAATGTTAATAGGTCAAGGCTTCCCCTGCCCTAACCTGCCCTAACCCGCCCCATTTACGTCCCTATAGATACAACTATTAAACCTTTTTTTAAAAGATTGTTCTACCCCAATTTCGTGTTGAATTTTAATGAGATTTTTCTCGATTGGATCGGAACAAAGCCTAAAGAAAAGCCTACAAATATTGAACAATTACATAACTGAAGCACTGGAAGAACGTAATAATAGAAATGATGAAACGTTTGACGATGATGATTTATTATGGACGTTGATGAAGAAAGTGAAAGTCAATGGACTAGGACACATTTTATCTAGCTCTGATATCATGAGCACAATTGTTGATATATTATTAGGGGGTCATGACTCTGTTGCTACATCTGCTAGTTGGTTTTTTTTGGCTCGTTATGAACAATTCCCATGTTGAAAAAAAGATCGTCGATGAAAAAAGAAAAACAGGGGAAAAGACAGGGACGGCTCAAAGGTAAAGCCATTCTTTTTGTCTTGTGGTATGGATTCTGAACCTTAATCCTTTTTGTTTATTGAGTTCTGAATAAATTATTTTTATATATATAAATAAACATTTTTTTAAATACAAATACTACAAGTTTTGAGCCAAACATTGGGTGCTGCCTAACCCGCAACTTTAATTAAGGCTACCAACTTCAACCCCTGCCTAAAATATTAACAGAATTTTATTTATATATATATATATATATATATATATATAATTTTCGGTTAAGGCTGTTGGAACAAGTAAATTATCATAAATTTCTTTCTTAATTACATGTATTTACTTTTGATGATTTCAGTTTCCAATTTCTAACTCAGTTTATTACTTGAATTAACTAATTCTGGTCATCTTGTTTGGTGGATCCATATATTTGAAAGTAAGTATTTTGTCTCTTTAGTACATAAAGTTTAATATGAAATAAGTTGAATACCTTCTTATTACGTGTATAATTTGGTTTTAGGTCACAAATTCTATTGAGTCACCTTGCGGAGAAGAGACACAAGAATGGATAGAAGAGCCATTATCATACGAAGAAATCAATCGTTTGGTCTATCTTCACGCAACATTGCTAGAAACACTACGTTTATTTCCTTCTTTCCCAGAATCGTGAGGTACGTGACATCTGATGACATCCTTCCAGGTGGAACTTACGTTCCAGCTGGTTCGGACATCATCCTATCTCTATACTCTGTAGGAAGTGTGGGGAGAAGACTGCTTACAATTCAAACCAGAAAGATGGTGTTGACACCCAATTTTGACCCTCCACAATATAAATTAATCATTTCAAGCTTCTCCAATTTCAAACGATTTAAAATAATTAGTTTATAAAATTTCCAAAGAAAAATAATATAGTTTGCAAGTTATTTTAAATAGTTGTGTCATTTTTATAATTTTTAAATAATATGTGTGTTTTATATAATTATGTATATAATTAGTATATTTTAAGAATATTCGAAAATCATCTCAAAAAGATTTTTTTTTTTTGTTTTTTGTTTTGTTGCTTTAATTAAGTATTTGTTGATTAGTTTAAGTTATGATTATATTTTTTGAATAAATTTGTTTACAAGTAATTAATTGTTTTATTTCGTTAAATTTAAGAAGCTCGTTAATTAATTTTGTTTAAATTCATCTTGATTGAGAGTTGGCCGAATTTAACTAAATTTCATTTGGCTACAATTTAAATTCATTTGGTCATTTGTTTAACTATCATTTTTGCCAACACCTCAAACCCATCTAAAACTCAAAATTGGGCCCATTCATCAGCCTAATTCCAATTCAATGCCCATTTTCCTCATACATTCCAACAGCCTATCTCATTTTTATTTTTCAAATTCCATTCTTCCAATCCAATTCAAATTAATTCCCAGCTGACCCAACCCTTTTCCCCTCAGACCCGGCCCAATCCAATTCAAAGAAAACCCAGCAAATGTTAACCTTCAGAAAGCAGCGTGCAAAACCAGAAGACCCCACCCTTGTTACTCTTCTTCTTCGCAGAACCCGACGCCAGACGAAATCCCAGCGAAAATCGCGCTGCAAACCCGAAAATCTCGTCCAACTACCCTGCAAAATCCATACCCTAGAAGTCTCAACATCGATCACTTCGTCGTCCCCTTTTCGCGGAAGTCACTAATTTTTCCATCCCCCTTCATTGTTGATCTCGAATGGAGCAGAGGAAAATTCAAATTTTCTTTTGAAATTTTCCAACGGATTCACCCCCTCCACCCCCAAAAGTTGCTCCATTTTTTCCCTATATATAGTTCTCTCCCTCAGTGATTAGAGGGGATGGAAGAAAAAGACTGGATTTTGAGGGCAATATTTCACATATGAAATCAGCTTACAAAAGGTCACTTGGTTTCAATTTTATTTGTTTCCTTTGGTCTGCTCGAGTCTGAACTAGTGTGGTAGGAGAATCGTGGAAATCGCTCCCCTGCTCGTTGTCTCGGTTCTCTGCTTCTTAAAAGGTAAATAACTCGTATCCCTTTTGTTCACTTTGAGTTCAGAGTGTAGAAATGATGTAGTATTCCGAAGATACCCGTATTTGATTTGTTTGAGTCTTGGCGATGTCTTTCTTTTCTCTGAAATTAGTGATGCATATTTCGTTTCCGAGATTAGCTAATGTCATTCGAGTCTGTGGGGGTATTCTCGGACTCGTGGTTGTGATGTTTGCTTCAAGGTTTAATCTATTTATTTATTAAGCGCCATGTTACTGTCTTATTCTCATTGTTGAAATAATGTTTGTTGTCCTGTTATATGTTTGGAGGGCGCCAAACGAATTATGTTGTTGCATCTTTAACTTCTTGCGGATACATGGTTTCCATTCTTTGAAGCATGTTCAAAATCTGTCCATATCCAGTTTAAAAGATTTCCACTCACGTATTTCACATCATGTATTGATCATATATATATCTTGCATTTGGCAGATTCCTAAAGGATAATTTGGAATAAAATTAGCCCATGGCCATCTCTAGTTCATACCTATTTGTAGCACATTGTTTTATTTTATTTTCGAAGTGCTGGTGTTCATATGACGCTCGTCGGGCTCGTTCGAATGTGCCAAGCAATGATTGTTAATGCTTTGTTCCATATGTCTCTTATATATGAGTTGCTACGATTTTCACACTTAGAACAAACATGCTATTTTTACTTTATTTTTCTATTCCTTGGTTAGAGTTGCTAGTGTTAATTCGCTTCCTTATCCATGCTTAAAGATCATACATTTTTTAGCATAAAATGTTTATGGTTTCTGTTGAAATTTTATCTTTCCTTGCTTTGGTGTGAAGCCTTAGATTTGTGGTTAATATTTGGTATTATTTGTCATGGCTAGATCTTGGATAATAGTCATCTTATTCAAATACCTAAGTAGTGTTTAAGCCTTTCTAAAATCAAATACCCATTGGTTTTCTCTTCATTCAATTCATAGGTGTTTTATTTTTCTTAAATCCGTGTCTTGATGTTTACCACCTTCGCTCCGAACGGTGCTACCCCCATTCACGTTTTTTTTTACAACATAGTTAGTTCACTGCATTTTGCATCATTTTCTTCATTTTGGCTAAAAGGAACAAATTATTGCCTGGGTATGTGCATTAAATAGTGTGTTACCCATTTTATTAAAATGGTCACTAGTTTTGTTAATCCCTCTCGTGTTTAATTTGGTTGAAAATTATGTTCAAATTCATATTCCTTTAGCCATATGTTGCTTACTTTGCTTTTGTTTTCTTTTGTATGAACTCACCCCTTCCGAGTCTATGGTGGACCTCTCTCTTACATCTTCAAGATGAGCCGTAAAGGCTCAATTTTACCCTTTTCTCGAGTCAACCCTCCTATTTATTTGGAAGCCGTTACAGATCCCGAAGGCCCAAAGTAGTGCTGGAAATTAGTTCATAAATGTTCAAAGCCCAAGAAATGGGTTGTATACATATTGTATACAGCTCAAAAACGCAAAAATACAAGGCTAAGGCGAAATACAGGTGTTTGGAAGCAGGGGATACATGGAAAGAGCTGATATACACGCCTATATACACTGATATACAGTCAATGTATACAAAAACGGGATTGAGTGAAAACCCAAAAGCTTGTAGCGAAATTGGCCCAAAAAAGGCCCAATTTCATTCTCTTTTACTCTCCTAATTATTTTGATTATGTCTGACTAACTTCATTTATCTCTAACCTTAATTTATTTTAATTAACTTAATTAGATTCCCCAAAAGAGGAGTTATTTTCTTTGTGTTGATTCATTTTCAATAAATTTCTTTCTTTTGTGTCGATTTATTAATCAAGCAAGTAGTTGGTCAAATTTTTATCACTTTAAGTAAGTTGAATCTTTTGTTCAAAAAGAAAAAAATGTTCTTCGGTGCTTCTTCACTTAAAACATATTTTTATGCATTTTTAAAAAAATTATTTAAGCTAGACAATTTTCTTGAATAAACTTAAAAATAATTAAAGTGTTTTCCTTTCCTTAGCTATTTTGTCAAAAAATAATAATAATAATAATTTAACCCAATTTACTCTTCAACCAATTTTAAATGGTTTAAGTTCAAATTATTATTTTCTAAAATGATTCAATTAAATCTTAATTACTCTAATTTTTGTTAAAATCTTAATTGACCAAGTTGTCACAATTAAGTTCCAATTTTCTTAAAAATTAAAAATTGTTCTTTTAATTATTTTCTCAAGTTAATCGAATATTTTAAGTTATTATTTTAAATCATTTTTTTTCTAAAAATAGTCAAAA